TTAGCAATGATTCATGTGGAAGTCACTGAGGATACTGAACATCTCTAAATAGTGAAAACTTTTGAGGTGAGTAAATAGGACCTATTGCTTGAGAGGCACAAGTGCCGATTTGTTGTCTACTGATGCTTTAATTTGACCATATTACGTATGTAGCTCCTGGTGATGCTCCCAACATGTTTGGCGGGTCTTTGAGTACACAAACTAACCCCAGACAGCAACTATATCTAAATTGTTAACACTTTAAGATTCATATTCCTTTACATTAATAATATTTGTAAACACAAAACAGGCCTATTTGCAATTATGCAATAAAATACAGAAATTATTATTTCCTCATTTATAGGTCAGACTTCTAAATGATATACTTTATGTGAATATATATTTAATCTATATGATAATAAAGTAGGGATTGGACCTTTCATACGTTTACATAAGGGGCTAAGTCCTTAAAAAAAAAGAGGAATTATGTGATGGTGATAACAAAAGAACTACAATGCACAATCATGAATACTGTCATAGCTTTAGCTCACTGTTCATCTAATATTGTTGTGTAGTACATTTGGTGAACAGTTTGTCAACCATGGTGTTTTAGTGCTAGTGTTTTCCTGGCATCCAAAACTGCAGACTGAACATAAGACGTGAACCAATTAGCTTAGCTCGTTTAGAACAAGGAGGAAACAGCTAATGTCCAAAAAAAACCCCCCCCCCCCCCCGGCTGCACCTCTAAAGCTCACTAATTAACATGTTGCATCTTGTTTGTTTAATCGTGTCAGAAACAAAGTGTATAAATGACTGTTTACTTCTGCTAAGGAGGTTATGTTTTTGGTTCTGTGTGTGTGTTTGCTGGTTAGGAGGGTTACAGACAAATGGGTGGATGGATCATCATGCTTGGTACAGACATCGGTGGGGACCAGCCCTAGAAGTGATTAGATTTTAGCTGAAAAAAGCCAAAAGTCAAGGTCACAAAAAATGAAAATCACCAAAATACCTATCTTTAACATGGGGCAAAATTAAAAATAGGATAATCATAATCACCTTTATTTGGCCAAGTATGTTACACACACAAGGAATTTGTTTCCGGTACAGAACCGAGGCAGCCATCTGTGGCCCCCAACTTGGGGGTTCACTGTCTTGCCCAAGGACACTTCAACACGTGGACCACAATGCCAAAAATGCCATATCTCCTTCAAAAGTCATCAAAGTCATTTGAAATTTGACATACATACGTAGAGTGGCAATGTCTATCACCAGACCAAATTTAGTCCGGATCTGATCCATATTCCTCAGCTAAGTGCCTGCTGATCCTTCCCTCACACTTAAGAAAGGAGTTATCGATTTTCTGATCTTGCACTCAGCAAGACAGCAAATATGCATATTTCTGAAATGGTCAAGCTATTTCATTACACATGGATGTCACTAGCTGTAGTATTCAGGGAAAAACAAACAAACAAGCAACAACAACAAAAACTCACATACTGTGTGATTGACACAAGAAGGCATTCAGGGCATGATATATAACAAATGGTTACAAACTGGACTGGACTGTTTTCATGATCAATCTGCCAGTTGTTCTTCACTTAATCAATTAATTGTTTAGTTGATAAAACATCACAAGATATTGAAAAATGCCGATCACAAGTGTTTTGCCTTTTTTCTTGAAAAAAATCCTTAAACATTTAACCAGTTATCAAATTAGCAGCTTGTTTTTTTGTCCATCAACTAGTTAATTAACAGACTAGATGTTTCAGATCTACAAAGGACACAGTTAAGTAACATTTGTCCTACTCTACTGCAAAGGTCTCGTGTAATAGATCAACTATTTGTCCTAAACACAATTACCATTATTGTATAACATCGAAGGACTTTCCTGCAGCAGAGGAGGGGGGGAAAGAACCTCAACTTAACCAGGAGTTCAGGTGCTGAAAGCATGAATATCACAGTGTGAAAAGAAGCTACGCCAAAAATAACAGCTACTTTCCAGTTGGCTACCCACAACCACAGCCAGTCCCTTAGGATTAAATGTGCTCTTACAGCAGTATCTTAAGGCTAAATTCTTACTGTGTGTCATGCAGCCGTAAATAAGTCTTCATTATAAGTGAACTATAGAGGTTTCCCACAGTGATGGAAGGGGGACACTGTGTGAGCATTCACACACCTAATTGCTGGAAACCAAACATCTGGGAATAAGGCCAGGTGAGCTGGCAGAGCTGCTAGCAGGGCACAGAAGAGCAGATGAAGTAGAACATGTCTGTGTCTTGTCTCAGACAGTGAGCATCTAGCCACGTTCCAGTCACTGCAGCAGCTCTGGGAGCACTTAGCCTAAAAACTATTTGGTTATGAGACCGGGGAACACCAGGCATTCAATAGAATCCGCTTTCAGGATGTAATCCTGTGCCTTAATAGTTTTGAAAGGTACTTGTTGAAAGTAAATCCGCTGTTGGAAAATATTCATATTTTGTTAACTACAGTGGGAATTTTGTGACCAGACATCAAGAAGAAAATGCAGTTAGACTGCTTCTCTGGAAAAAGTAGACTCTTTCCACATTCATGTCTTGGTAAAACCTCTCTACACACATTTGGCAACTGCTAAACAAAGAACTGTAAAATCCAATGTAGGGAACAAAAGATCATAAAAAATCAGGACAATTGCTGGTGTCCTCAGTTGGCACTAACAATCACACGACGACACTGAGCTGTTTCATGTTACTGAGACTGTTCATCTCTTTGTAGTGTCTTTATAAATGCTTCTACTAAATCACAGACAAAAAGAAGAAGAAAAAAAAACATACTACCCTAGACATGGAGAAGTGTGATTCCCCGTAACCATATAATCAAGCTATATAAGAGTAGTGGCTTTAGCACTGCAGTCTGTCTGACACCAGATAGATATAATTACAAAACAGCTATGTTTAATGGGTAACTTGTGAAACATAGCACATTGTTTCCAAGGACTTCACGAGACTGAAAACAATGGCATGCCAGAGTAGACAGATGTAAACACACACAGAGAACAGGCTTTCGATCGGCCTGTTTCCGATTGTTGTGGATGTTTGTCATCTTTGTGCGAGTAGGAACAAAAGAATTGGTTTTGGGTGAGGATCTTTGGTCCATATCAAAGGAAGGGTGGGTGTTTTTTAACCATGTTCATAATAATGTATATAATAACATATACAGTCCACAAGTACTGTAGCTCACATCATGGACATTAAATTGATACAGAATAGCAGCAAACTTACTGTTTCAATAAAACCTGACCTGACCAAAGTTCCTCTCACCTAAATGTCTTGTTCACTCTGTAAATCATTGCTAAGTCTTACAGAGGGTGGTCTTCCTCATTAACTTCTCACAAACTATAGCGTTATCACAACGAAAAGTTATTCAGAAACTGCACTGGAACAGAAGTAATACAGTTGTCAGTGATACACAAAGACAACTTAGGAACAATATAAGAAAATGGCCTTAATCTTAACCCTTTCTATCACCACCGGTTCCCTAATCAAAGCTCCTTTCACACTGAGGCAAAGTCAATAACAACATACAATCAGTATACAAATACAGCTATTTTTAAAAGAGCCTCTGCATTCATTTCAGTTGCTGTATAATTTGAATTATTCTAGCATGTAACACTTTAATTGTGTAGGACAAAGACCATGTCAGAAACACAGAAGAGCTTGAGGCAGAGGGAAAGTGATTTGAAGGGCTTCCTTAGTGAGGGACATACATAGCTAACACATCTATATATCCAAAAAATAACAGAAGGCAGTATTTCTAATTATTCCAAATATACAGCATCATTTTTAATATTATTTCTACAGTTATCATTATCAACATTTTGTAATTATTTTTACTGTGGTATTGGCACTAGTAAAACATTAAGTTGTTTGTCATTTTTAAAAGTGTTACAAAAATATTTGGGGAAAAGGGGAAGGGAAAAGAAAAGTAGACCTTCATTCTCATGTTTATTAATAACTTACTTACCTCTACTGTACCCAGACTTAATCAACAGTGGCATTAGGCATTATATTACAATAATAGATGGTGCTTCGTCTTCAGTCGTGCAATGTTTCCAAACCTCAGGATATGATATGTATGGTGTGGAGCCTAAACCAGGCGCAGATCCTTTCACTTCTTATTTCTGTGATTTTGATTTCTGGTCTGACTTCATTAATTCTGACTGTTATGTTGACCTTGGCACCCACCACACAAGACATCCTGCTAGCAAAGCTATAGCAGAACTAAGGCCTCTACTTTAATAAAAAGCTGGTGGCGGAGTCTTTTAACACAACAAAATATTGTCAATGGAATGGCTTTAGCTACTGTATATAAACTACTAGATACTATACACTCAGTTGGCAGGTTATTAGGTACACCCGCATTAAGCCGGCATTCAGACTGATCCAGTAAAAATTTAACTGCCTGCTGTGCACAGGGCTGCGTTGGTCAGGGGGTGAGGGGATGCAGTGGGAGTGCGGTGGGTGTAGGCCTACATGATACGGCCACGTTGGGACGAGTCAACCTTAGTGACCTCATTCACATTTCCAGCCTGGGAGTTTCCATTGTGTTTTGGTTAGCCATGCTACTAATGTAGACTACTCTACCTTAGCACCAATTCTACCACCGCTTAACATCCACTCCTAATGTCATGTCATTGTGGTGTGTTACATGTGGCCCAAATTCAACAGTGAATAGCAGTGAATGCTCATGCTAACAAGGTAAAGAAAAGTGTATTCTTCCTGTGGGCATACAAGCTGAACTAGGTCCAGCTTTCTCACAGCACGGGGTTGCATTATTTTGCTAGGGTCCCCTGCGATGCTGGTACCAGCTGAGGTGAACACAATCCCCCACAGAGAGATGCGCTTTTTCACACCTTTGAAAAGCAGTGTGAACATGGCCTTAGACTGCATATCTGTACCTAATAGACTGCCAACTGAGTGCTTTAATGTGATTTGTTGATGAGATGAAATCCAAAGAGGTAAAGCAAGACTCAACCTCTGACTCACGTGTCAGGTGGAAGATGCCATCACAGGCGCTGATATGTGACAGGAAAGCGTTTCCCAGGCCTTGGCCAGCATGAGCACCTTTCACTAGGCCAGCAATGTCGACAACATTAAGGAACGCTGGGATTTTGCTGCAAGCCAAGAAGCAAAAGTTAAAAATGGTCAGCTATTTATAAAAACATCAGTCCCCTTTTAATACAATTCTACTTTGCATTGGTTTGTGCTGCAATTCAATATAACAGTATTGTTAAAAAATTATACCCATATGAAAACTGTGTGGCTTGTTTTGTGTTAAAGTGGTGCCAATCATAATGTTTCTTTGAAGTTATAGGCTATGATGTTATTGAATTGCATAATAATGTGAAGTGGTATGACTATATTGCATGTCCATAAGTATTATTTTGTTATATTACACAGCCTTATGCTGGTTTACTGTTTACTTGCCCGTTGCATGGGGATATGTATATACACATTGAGAGCTGATGTACCAGAGTCAAATTCCTCATGTGTCTGACACACCTGGCCAATAGAGCACATTCTGATTCTGAAGTGTAGTGTAATTCCATTACAATCAAACAACTCTCTGTGCCAGCGAATCCAATGAAAAGACCAAAACCAACAATGGATTAGTCTGTCTGTCAAGATGTGAGATTTCACTATTTCACTGTATGCCACACACTGTGGCATGCAGCCCCAAGCCAGCTGGTTTCTAATGAAGAGATAAATCTATATATATTGTTATAATATACAATATAATATATTGTTTTGTAACAACAACAACACTACTACTACTACTAATAATAATAATGACTGAGCATTGTATTTTTTTAAACAGTATCATTCAAACATTAATAATTGAGGACTGTTTAGTAAGGAGGATTGGTACATATTTGATCCACTAATCAGTTTTTTGTAGGTCATGACCATCACTGGATGTCTGTGACACACATGTGTAAGCTATACAAGACTATGTACTGTATACACTGGAAACACTTGAATCAGTTCAATGATGTTTTGGTCTTTTGATGGGATTTGTGTACAATAAGAAATATATGCATTATCACCAGCTTTATCCTTAAGGTAAACAGGGTACACAAGTATTACAGAGCTGTAAAACTGCATTGCACTTTTCACACAGGTGTTTTATTTGTATGGATATTGGCGTAGTTATTTATGAATAGCAGTGGAATCAGTTTTCCATGTGTTTAACTAACAGTTTTGAGCATATACAACACAGGACACAACTGAGTACAAATGTGCTAGTGAGATTTACAGTGCTCTTTGAAAAGCAGGAGCTTAGTTATGGTCACTGAAATTCATGTACTGAAACGTTCTGAGCTATTCAACATACCAGCTCTTGTCAGTTAAAAGAGATTTCCTGTGAATAATGTGTCAGTATAGCACAGCAATATGAATTCAACCAGCTTTAACAGCCTCTATAAATGTGTATGATAACTCAGGTGTTGGAGGTTCAGATGCATCAGAGAGCCTTGGAGTAGAGCAGCAATCATACATCATACAGAAGTTGCAGCTACATGTCAACAACATTGTTATATGTTTTCTCATGCCTATAGCAAGGAGACCGCCAGACACTACAGATCTGAAGTGTGAATAATATGTGAATGATGAGACCCCATACCTGGCAGGTTTGTGAAACTGGCAGAGGAAATCATAGCGTTCATCTGGAATGGGCACTCTGCTTTCATTTGGGTCAATGGTGCAGAAGGGGAAATTTTCAGCTGCAGCCTGACTCTTTGTCAACACGTTGAAAAAGGTTGACTTCCTGAAAATAAAAACAGCAGTGAGGTCCATCCACCTAACAGTGTTGATAGAATGATCCTGAAACATTTCTAATCTGTGCAAGAAGGAAAGGGTTATTCTAAGTGACTGAATATTTGAACACAAAATTATGCAAAATACATTAATATACCAATTACAAGGTCAAATAATTCCATTATAGTTCAACTGTGTAGAGAATTGGGGGGGGTGAATTACATTTCAGATGGATCTCAGCTGTTGAACAGGATCAGCCACATGTTGCTCCATGTTGTGATCACAGAGAGATTTATTTTCTATGGCACAAGCAGCTCAAGTGTACTTCAGAATCTACAGACAGTGGCAAGTGTCAGAGCAATAACGGCATGGCAGTTAACTATAATCCAGGAGTTTCCATCTTTGTCCTCTACCTCAGTGCTTCACATTGAAATGATTATTTGCTAAGTCCTATAAGCATGAAATTGCTTGTGATTGCTAAAGTGCGTGCATTAATTCCTTATATATAGCTGGATTGTTTCTCTAACATACTTGAAGACTTTTTTGGGGTCACCTTGAGGTAAAAAAATTTTCAAAAGAAAGAATAACTACCTACAGTAACACCACAACCATTGTCAGGTGTAAAGATGACTTAGCATTATAAACAATTATACAGAAAATTACCTACTTAGCAAATTATTAACTTACTTAGAAATGTTCAACCAGAAATTAGACCACTGCTTTCCCACCTGTTGATGAAAACTGTGCACCAAAGAGAGCTAGTAAGTGGAGTTAAGATTACTTTGTTAATTCACAAATCTAGTTTTTCAATTTAAAACCCCAGCGATCAGTGTCCAGATAAAAGTTTCAAAGACAATCTGAGCTCTCGGTTCAGGAGCTAATGCTAGCTAGCAGCTGCTGGCAGATAACACACTGCAGATGAATCCATTTCTGTCCTGTCTGTGCTCAAACTGAACACTAAAGTGGACATTTGGACATAGCTGAAGCATCCGCTGCTGTATGAGATAGTATTTATTTTTTTAAATTAGCTTATAGATGTATGTAGTGTATATATCTATGATGGATCGTGGGCATGATGCTCCAAACATGACGCATTTACCCAAAAATTCAACACCATGTGATGCCAACTTCCCATTCTCTATTTATTAACAGCTCTGTTATAAACTATACAAGTGACTAACATTTCACTGGTTTCCAAATACAAACAGTGACAGATTCCTTTCACTTCTTTGTTACAGCCTGCTGTGTCTTTTTAGCTTGATTAATTAATCAGAGTCAACATGTTCAATGAACGGATTGATCCATATGTCCTGGAAAAAGCAGAAATGTGTCCCAGCCAAAAACACGTAACCATCACTTTCTAACATTTGTATTTCCTGGGTTGATTGAGTAATATTAAGTGGAACAATCAGGCCCTCTTGATTAATGAAGGTGCTTCGCTTCACATCAGTTCATTAAGTCTGCAGCTATAGTTAAACCTTTCCAGCCTTATACCAGGAAGTAGGCGGTTAAGAGAGGCCTTTCCTTTGGAAAATGAAGCACTAAATACCAAGTTAAGACAGAAGAGCAGAAGGGCGAGGAAGAAGGCAACTGCAGAGTAAATGCACACACAGCAGAAAGGTGTGATTTTGCAAATTTCTTTCTAGTTATAGCTATACACATGTTCCTACATATATTATTTTCTTCAAAAGAGTCATAAGGCAACCTGTAAGACAATGATATGACATGTTAGTAACCTAATGTTTTAAGTAAACAACCATGCCATTAGAAACCATGTTTCTAATAAATTACCTTTGTTATGGTTGTTAATAGTCCACATGCAAAACGGTGGATCCCTAGTTGCTCTGCTAGCCTGAATAAGGATGTTGGATTCTTTGTTTTTCTGCTTGAATGCCCTGCTAATCTCAATCATCTCGGTTATTCTCATACAAGCTGCCTAAATCAGTCTCTTGATGACACTGTTAGATTGTTTCCCTGAGCTCACATCTATCCACTCGAGATAAATGAACACTTGTATATAAAAAAAAACAACCTTTGCATAGTTTATGTAAAAATATCATACAAATTGTGTTTGTCTGTTAAATCAGGCCCAGTTTTGCTTTCGTATGTGTTGTTTCAGGTTTACAAAAAGTAAACTATTTAAAATCTCTTTAGGAACAGAATAAAATATTAACTTATTAAAGAGACAGCAGTAAATTGGTTTCACAGATTCACAAGGTATAAGGTGTTTAGATTATTTGTTCACATTAACTTCTTAATTTAAGTATGTATTGTATGTCAAAAGACTGCATGGGACAGCAGTGTGTGATGAGTTGATGAGGCACACCGAGCCGATGCACTAGGTGAAAGAACGCTACTCATGTGGATCTCTCTCAAATTAATTTCGAGCTGAAGGCACTTAGGCCATGTACAGTGTATACTGTACAGTGACTAAACTTTTTTTGTGCCTATAAGCAGGAGGGTGACAGTTAATAGAGCAGGTGTGGCTCTAAGTGTAGGACTATACCCTCTCAAGTTTCCCAAATGTGTGTAAAGTGGTTACACCCAGCAAACAGCAGGCTGGCATCTGAACAGTTCATTCACAAAGAAACCATTGGGTGGTTGAGAAGTTGTGCTTTGACACAAATGTGGTATGGCAGCCCACAACCTCAATTATTATTACTTCTTATACCAGGAAGAAATTGTGGTGTCACTGCAGTATAGGAAATGAAAACACTGGATACTGGCAAGATCTTTGTGCAATAAAAATCTGGCAAAACAGCTTTGGTACACTATATGTGAAGAAGCACAGACTGAAAACTGAATCCATGGAGAGTTTATTTTCCATGATCAATATCCTAAATATATAATGAAATAAGTCCCATGAAAAATACCCTCAGTCTGTCTGCTTCAGTTTAACTGAAACAATATCTGAAGCTTCGAGTTCACAGATTCAGCTTCTGGATAGTATCTGGACATTATGGGCCTTAACGGTCCCTCCAAACCCTGCAGTTTTCACGTCTTAAAAACTTTCTATGCTGCTTGAAAACAACAGTTCTGTTAAAAATGACTTTAAAATAAATGTGAGGAACTTCAAAATGATGAGAACCTGTCAGCTGAACAGCTGTATCACCACAGCTCTTCCTGTAGCTCAAAGGGAGCTGCATGAAAGTCAGTCTGCTCTGTGATTATGCTCTGTCAGTGATGTTGCTGGAGGACTTGGTAGACCTCCAGCAACATCACTGACAAGGTAGATTTGTCTGACCAGGTTTGATGTGCAGACAGCATGCCAGCCTCCTAACACACAGTACACTGCAGTGCAGAGTCTTGTCAGGTTGTCCACTTCACCAATAAAACCCTCTGGCAGAAAAACAGGTTGGAGACTCGAGCACTCTTTGACTCTCCAGGTTTGTACGTAAGAAAAATGCTCAAACTCGTAAAAATACCATTCATACAACCCTGTCTTTTTGACAGTAAGTGCTCCATTCTCTTGTCACTACCTCGTACATTTTCACCCTTCACATTCATTCATTGTGTTTGATTACATCAACATACTGACAAGAACACCTCAGGAAGACACACTGTCCAAGTACCAACTTTTAAATCAACCACTAGCTGCTCACAGTAAACTCAGCAAACACAGTAAATTCTTCAAACACATCTTCACAGCTTGCATAATACAAGCAGCCTCCTTCTCCCCTCCTTTGTTGTATCTACAGTAGGGGCTGGCCTGCAAAGTGGGTCACTGGTACAATAAGCACTGCAAATACTGTGTCTGCTTGTTCACTTTGTGATGCGGGTTATCTCTCATGTTCCTGCACAGTCTAAAGCCACAGGTTAGGTGGTCTGAGAAATCTAAATTGCCTGATATATGAAGGTGATAGTGACTGTTGGTAGTTCTACAGTGTGACTTTTCCAGTGATTTTGTGGTGAGTCGTTCATGGTGTGACGTGACCATTTACCAGTGATCGCTAAGATGAGTTTAAAATGAACAGATGACAGAAATATAGATGTATCGTGGCAAACTCATCAGTCACCTAGAATTTAATATTTTCTTGAACTGAAAACACACTGTTGTAAAAGAATACATACTACATATTCATAATACATATTGTAAAAAGATCAGGGCTTTAACTATTACATATAAGCCATTTGTTTTGATTGGTTTATGTTCAATCATAACACTTATCTGCTGTAAGAAGTAATGGTTGAAGAGTTTTTAAAAAGCAACTCACACCCTTTTATTTAGACAAAAAGAAAGTTAGGAGACATGGGAAGAAAGATGAAACACTGTTGCTGGATCTGAGCCACTGTTAGTGGTTCCACAAAGGTCACAGCCTCAGGAGCAGTAGTCTGGTTGTTAAGGAACTGTCTGTATATTTAAATGTACACATTCCCTTACATTTTATTCCACTCTTTAGTCGTGCATTCTGCTGTACTGGGTTTACATCCAGACTTACATGCATTTATATTTATGGCATCACAGAAGGCAAATATAGCTCAGATATGGAGTGTGTTCGGTAAAGGCCAAAGTATCTATATAAAACCTTTTACTTACCCAACATTGGGCAGGCCGACGATTCCTATTTTCAATGAGGTGCCAAACCTTCCAATCAGCGGTGCTGGCTTTAGTGCATCGTCTCCCTTTCCCTAGTAAAGTCAAGGTGGAGATGTCTGCAGTCAGAACGAGCACTTGCCATTACATAATCTACAATGCATGCTTCTTTTTTTTTTTTTTTTTTTGAACGGAGCTATTCCTTAACAAAACGCACCTTCTTTGGAGCCATTTCTCACGCTCAGGGCTTTGCTGACTTCCACAACAGCTTATCAACTCGGAGAAAAGCAAATTCATTGACGGAAAATGGGCTAAGCATGTCCTCAAATGTAACCAGTCAACTACACTTCAACTGCACCCCCCACCCCCGTGCTCAAAATAGAGCATGCAGCCTGTGGAAGTGAAAGTTGACACTGTGAGCTGGCAAGCTGACCCATACGTCCACATTTAGCTGTAGATACTATTGATGCAGACTGATGAGCTGCTAAGATCAATCTACAGAGAGATGTTAGCTGAAAAGTGGGCATTGAAACCGTAGTTAATCTTTATCAGAGGTTCGACAACACCTGCCAGTTTCGTATTAACATTTGAAGCATCATCGTTTGTATAACTGAAGACATCCACGAGTTGAACCTCTGTACTGACAAGTCTGAGCATTTTTGGCTTGTCTCCTTGTTTTATAGCTTAATCACTTCCTACATCACTACATCCTCATTGTCGAGCCATTTAATTCACACTGCACTTTAAAGCATGTCGATTCGGTGTCATTGCTGTGGCCTCGGTTTACCTGCCACCAAAATAAATAAAGACCTGGCAACCTTAAACTGCAAGTAACAAAACAAACTCACAGGAAACAGCAGGTGAGGCGCAGACGTTGTCATTTAGAGCCGCCCACACCAAAACAAAGAGGAATAAATACCGCCTTTAGCACCGTCTTTCTATTTTACAAGGTAAAATCGCAACCCAAAATATCAGTACAAAAGGTAACTGACACATTTTCCTACATGTGCCCATGTTTTTTTTTGTTAAATAATCCTATAAGTGTCCTCTGATACAAGTGTAGTCTTCAGACAATGCACAGCTTCAGCAGCACAGACATAAAGTCTAACATCCTTGCACCCGTACTTTTCCTCCAACCCCCTTTGAGAGAAACAGGTGTAGCTGCATGAGCACACAAAATTACAACAATTAGTTAAATGTCCTCAAATAAACTTCCCTCAGCAGAAATACAAATTAAAGCACACAGGGGCACAGCCAAAAAAAACCCCATTGCCCAATCCAGCAGCCTGTCTAGTTTAACATGCAGAAAACGAGGCTCTAATAATCTGGATTTGAGGCAAGTGAAGCTAAAGGCTTTGTAGAAAGAATTTAAATGAATAGGTCTGAATTAATCATTTATCTTTTGTTGATGGGTGCACCCCCACTTAGACTCATCACAATAGATGCAGAGCGTTTTGTTCGACCAAATAAATCATTCCCATTGTTTAAGGTACATTGATCAATCTAATGGCTTGTAATAGGCTCCTAATTGCCACAGAGAAGTGCTCACGAATGGAGTCCAGAATTACAGATTCAACTCAAAAATCGCACTTGAATGACAAGGCAAGATCATGTTCTCCCCTTTTGTCTCAAGTAAACATCCCCTGAAAAATTACTTTTTTATTATTCTAGATTAATATGACAAATAAAACTTCCTTACAAATAAATGTAAGCGGGTTGTACAAAGCACTGAGATTCTGCGAGTCCTGTGCAGTTTTCTTTGACTTGGAAACATCATTATTTCACACTGCTCCCTGTTATGAGATGTGCAAAGAATCAAACGGACCAAAGAATGTAATATCTCTCCAATGTTAATTTGAAACCAAAAAACAAAATGAAGCCAGGGTTTTATTTAAAAACATGGTGAACTTAAAAGATGAAATATACGCTTACATTCTGCGTTCATTTTCATGTATCGCTCAAATTAATTGAACTACTTTAGCAACAATCAACTTTGTTTATGTAAAACAGGCGTTTAATACTGTTAACATCACTCTGCCAAATTGTCATGATTGCAAAAATGATTCCATTTTCTTGGCTGCGCTCAGTATCTGATGAGACTGATTTTTAGTCACCCTTCTAAAGGTGTTTTTTTTTTTAAGCAAAAAAGACTATTTGAACAAATTGCGCCTGTGTTGACTGACAGTATTCATGCTCTATAATGGAACATTATTTGCCCGTTTTGAATAGTGTAATGCACATCTTTCGGTCAAGCCTTTCTCTGGAAAATTGCTTTAACTTTTAAAGGGATGATGATTCACTTCAGAGCAGGTCAATTTTACATTATGTCATTATTCCTGAGCATTTTAACAAACTATGGAATATTGGCTTTTTGAATTGTAACACTAAAAGAAAAGAAATATACAAATAGGCTAACAATGGTGGCGAGTTTGGGGAAACTGGAGAAACGCGGCATCCTCTTAATTGTCCACAATTTAATTACAAGTGTGATGAGATTTTATTTCTCAGCTACAAGACAGGCACCGTGGCTCCAGTGGAAAGGCTCTAATGGAGATGACTGGCGGCCTTACACCACACACCCCTGGCTGTTGAAACTTTCCCCCCCGCCTATAAAAATCCTTGTCTTTTAAAACAGATCTACTACACGCTCTGATAAAGCAAGCTGTCATTTTTAATTAACCCCTCACCTGCGCACCCCCAACAAGTAAGCGGGGGGGGAGAAGCGCTTACGGCACGGCCGCGCGCGAACGCACGCACGAGCACAGACACGAGTGGGTTTAAAATTTTTTGGCTCATGGGTAAACAAACCGTAGGCGATATTTTATCAGCTACAATCTGTTTTTCTCCAGGTATTCAAAGACAAGTGGTTTCATTCAGACGGGTCGTAAACAATCTAACCGCGGTTAGAGAAGCAGAGTCGGAGCTGCCAGGCCTGTTTGGCTAAATTTCATCCATCTGTGGTTTTCTTATAGCAAAACAAAGGCTTACAAATAAAACTGGGCATAGAAAATCCGCTGTTTTCCCGCGAATCACCTGCGCCGTGCCTAACGCACAGCAGCGCGCACAGGCTGTGGACTGTTTTGATAAAGTCATCAGCAACAACAGCGTCTCTCAAATTGTTCAGGGCGCTGGACTTAAATAGCAACAATTTCTCAATGACGTGTTGCGCATGATATGAATATTGAAAATCAGAGAGGAAATCTGAGCTGCACAGAGGAGAGTGTCACCACAAACCACAGACGCTTTTAAAATGAGTGAAAAGCTTACCTGGTGGAGAACTGACGCGTGAACTCGAATTCTGCTATGAAAGGAAACATGAAGCCACCGTGTGAGTGAGAATACATAAAAATAACTGTATGCATTAAAAACATACCAAATCGTGTCTTGTATGACAGTCTGAGCAGAGGCTGCACAAACAGATGATTGACGGCGAGGTTTTCGGTGTTTCTGTCTGCGCTCGGGTCTCTCATTGGCTGACTTCATCCCTAGCCACGAATGCAGCTATTAGATTGGCTGCGCGTCCTCGCCAGCTGTACTTCAAAGAACACGCTCTCTACAACTAGGTAGTGTTGGGAGCTGCGAGCCAAGAGAGAAACCGTGTGACCTGAGTCAAACACGGTGAGTCTGAGTCAATTTGGAGCCGTACAGCAGTGCAATCGCGAACACTCACATCACAGCACAGACCCTGGATATGGCTACGTCTATACTTGGGGTGAGTTTGAATTTGGATTTCTGCGCATACGTTGTGCGTAAAGTTACTTCTTTCTTCTGCAACAAAAAGTCTTTACTGTGTTCGTAAACACGCATGTTTTCATGTTTGCAGTACTGATTTACTACAGTATCGTTTAGGTTACCAGTACTTGACTTCTCTCGGTAGTTATGAGCCTGTTATTAAAAGTAAAGAGCTACATGTTGACAAAGCTTGGCAACATCATAATCAAAACTGCGCTGATAAAACTTTGTCGTGTGTTAATATTTTCTTCTGCCTATATTCGCAGTTGATATCTGCAAATTAAAATTTTCAGAAAGATTGTAAAAATGTAATCGGTATTACCTTACGGTACTTCATTGTTCATGAAATACAATTGTTAAAACATTTATTTCACCTCAGATTATGCTTTTAATAGTTGTTTTAATTAGCTCGTAAAAGTGGCGACAATCAGGCGTGTGCTTTCCAGTTATCCGGGTTGGACAGATTAGTTTTTTTTTTTCTTGTCTTAAGTCCAACTTTTTGTGTATTTTTCAGGAAGAGCCACGGTTTGGAACTACACCTCTAGCTATGCTGGCTGCAACTTGCAACAAAATTGGCAACACCAGTCCTCTTACAACTTTACCTGACTCCAGCGCTTTCTCAAAAGGTGGATTTCACCCGTGGAAAAGATCCTCCTCCAGCTGTAACTTGGGATCCAGTCTGCCCGGTTTCACAGTAGCAACAAGCCGCGCATCGACAGGACTAACACCGACCAGTGGCACGGGCAACAGCGCCTTTTGCTTAGCCTCCACCTCCCCGACCTCGTCTGCGTTTTCCACAGAGTACAGCGGTCTGTTTTCCAACTCAGCCAGCGTCACATCTCAAGAGTCTGGACAGTCAGCTTTTATCTCCAAAGTCCACACATCAGCAGAGACTCTGTACCCACGAGTGGGGATGGCGCATCCATACGAGTCATGGTACAAGTCCGGGTTCCATTCAACAATTTCTGGCGATGTGGCCAACGGAGCGTCCTCGTGGTGGGATGTCCACACTAATCCCGGGTCGTGGCTCGATGTCCAAAATCCTGCAAGCACCCTTCAGACCTCGCTGCATTCCGGAACGCCCCAGGCTATCCACTCCCAGCTGGGTGGCTACAACCCGGACTTCTCCTCGCTGACCCACTCGGCGTTTAGCTCCACGGGAATCAGCCCTTCTGCGTCTCATCTACTGTCCACCAGTCAGCACCTGTTAACACAGGACGGGTTCAAAACAGTCATCCCCACTTACACAGACGCTTCTGCCGCTAACGCCATGATTTCTGGGGGCAGTTCAGGAATAAGTAGCTCCTCGAGGTCGTCCAGGCGGTACTCCGGGAGAGCAACATGTGATTGTCCGAACTGCCAGGAGGCTGAGCGGCTGGGACCCGCCGGGGCCAGCCTGAGGAGAAAGGGACTCCACAGCTGCCACATTCCCGGCTGTGGTAAAGTGTATGGAAAGACATCTCACCTCAAAGCGCATTTGAGGTGGCACACCGGCGAGCGGCCTTTTGTCTGCAACTGGCTTTTCTGTGGCAAAAGGTTCACTCGGTCCGATGAGCTCCAGAGACACCTTCGCACCCACACCGGCGAGAAAAGGTTTGCTTGTCCGGTGTGTAACAAGCGCTTTATGCGGAGTGACCATTTGAGCAAGCACATCAAAACGCACACGGCCGGGGGTGGAGGCAAAAAGGGAAGCGACAGTGACACCGACACCAGTAACCTGGAGACGCCGAGGTCCGAGTCCCCAGAACTTATTTTGGAGGGGGTGAATCCCAGAATCACGGTTAAGGATCCGTCTCCTCACGACGAGCCCTAATGAGGCCACACAGCCCAAATCAAACCACATTCAAACCTGCACAGCATTGAAAACGGGTCTTATTTGACAGACAATAAAGGAGAAAATATTTCAAGAAGCGATGGCAAAGACTAACAAATATATTCTCCACAGGCGTAACAAGTATTTCATTCGTAAATCCACCTGAAGAAACCACAGTGATTTGCTGTAGGCCTTTGGAGATTTTTAGGGACAATTCGAAAATGACATGGATGCTGAGGGTGCGCCAAACGTGTTGAACTTTGGTTGGACAACGTGAGTTACATCTTGTATATTGACGATTCAGCTATGTGTTATTTTAATGTAAATGTTAGGCTATGATTGTTTTACTCGTGTTGGTATCCTGGAAATCAGGGAGTTTACTTTCGACGCACTTTGTGGATATGTATGTACACAGCTTTTTTCAACTTTGGTTAACCATTTTATTTCTTTGCTAAAAATATCTATATATAAATGTTTACCTGTATAAAGTCACACGTATAAGACTTTCATTTTATCGTAATTAAAACATCTCAAAAAAGGCTGTAATTGTGTGATGTAGATTTTATGGTTTTTTTTTTAATAATTATTTTGTGTTTGGCTTTAAATTTGAAAAAAACAAATCTATTTAGAAATGTATTTTCAAACCTGAGTG